AGCCAAGCGGTAGGCACAGGACCAGGCACAATCGGTGCCTAATTCCAGGGGCTCTGGGGCATCAGGCTTCCCAGATTTCTGGAGCGGGTGGCACAAGGCCCACTGAGGCTCTTTGGCAGGTACCCACAAGGCCTTTGAATCCCAGTGGACCCGAGCAACAATCCAGATCAGAGAAGAGGATTATAGCCCCACCCCCAGGGTCTGTCTGTGGTCTTCCTTTCTGAAGACCCCGGGGCTCACGTTTCAGTTTGGTGAAGGGGTGGGCTGGAATGATGAAGTTTGGCCTAGGGGTCTCTAAGACCCTCTGGCTCTTTGTTAAATGTCTGTAGTTAAACCAGATGAAAACCTCCTGTATATGCCGTGGTTCTGGATCCAGGGAGACGTGGTTCTTTGCGCCCCCCCTGCAGCCTGCCCTTTACCCCCGTATAATTAGTCCGTTATTACTGTTATTGTTAAGTGCGGTGCTCTGCTGTTCCCCACTGTGAGCCAGTAACATCTGAGGTTCAGAAAGGCAAAGTGCAGAGCCCGGAGCAAGGGAGAGACTGATAAGATGGGGAAGGGAGGGGGGACACGCAGAGATTTGTGGTGGAAACGTACATCGAGTCCTGTTCTCAATATGGTATTAAACTGGACATCCTTGTCAGGGCCACAAATGCCGGAAGCCAGAGTCCCAGGAAGTGGGTCATTCATTCCGGCAGTGATTGCAATCATCCGTTTTTTACAAAAAGTGGCTTCAGGAAATGATAGATTTAGATGCCTGCTTTGGGATTGATTTCCCCAGGTAGTCCCATTCCTTGTCACTGGGTTGGGGAGCTGACCTTCTAGAACATGCTTTAGGAAGTGGGAGAGGTAAAAGATGCTGAGGCTGTAGGGGTAGCTGGGACCATCCTCTCTCTCTCTCTCTCTCTCTCTCTCTCTCTCTCTGTGTGTGTGTGTGTGTGTGTGTGTGTGTGTGTGTGTGTGTGTGTGCGCGCCCATGCTGGGGTGTGGTAAAGAGTTAGAGCCTGTACCCCTAACCCAGCAGGGCCAGGCACCCTACAGGAAGTTGGGCAGGTATCCTGTAGTCTGAGGAGGCAGCAGACAGTATTGTGTAGACTCAGCAACCTGAGCTGATTTGGCTGTGGCTTGCCAAGTCAAGTCACGGATGGTGTCTGACCTCCAACCTTGGCATCTTATGGTATGAGTGCCTTTGATGATCTGTGCTGCCTGCAGGCCAGGAAAGATTCTAGGGTGGAAGGAATGGGGGTGGAGGGGTGGCCCAGCTCTGATCCTCATCCTTCTCCTCTACCTCGTCTCCTCCCAGCCCTCCTGGGAAAGGACCAGTGTCCATTTTTCCATACTGCAGGATGGGGAGAGGCTCAGTGGTCCAGCTGGCTGCAGGACCAGGGAAGGAGGGAGGGACGGCAAAGCACATGGTGTAGTGGGTGGGTGGGTGGGGAGTGCAGGATGGGGGCTGCAAACAAAGGGACCTGGATCAGGAAGGACTGCTGAGTGACAATCCCCAGGCCAGAAGGAGAGACACACAAGAATATAATAATGGGGAAGCAGATTCAGAGATCACACACACACACACACACACACACACACACACACACACACACACACACACACTGCTTTGGCCACCATACTTGGAAGCCCAGACTCTAAATCAGTGGTTCTCAACCTGTGGGTCACAACCCCTTTGAGGGTCGCATATTGGGTAAATAATATTATGGTTGGGGGTCACCACAGCATGAGGAACTGTATTAAAGGGCCACAGCATTAGGAAGGTGAGAACCACTGCTCTAGATTATGAGGGAAAAGGACTGCCTCTGGGAAGCTGAGTTGGGACAAATCTGGGGACACTCTGAGGATAGCTGCTGCCCCCCCCCCTTTTTTTCACCCTTAAATGCCTCCACTGACTTGAGCAATCAGAGATTCTGCCTCTCCATGTCCTATTACTAAACTTCAAAATTGTGGGGTGCGGCTCTCCATCAGTGGATAGAGAGTCCTTACCCATCGAAGGGGAGGCCCTGGATTCCATCCCCTGAACCACGCAAATGGGACATGGTGGCTCATGCTTACAGTCCTAATATCAAGGAAGTAGAGATAAGACAATGGGAAGTTCAAGGGCATCCTTGGGTACACAGTGAGTTCAAGGCCAGACTGGGATCAGAACTACCTCCCGTATCTGTTTCTTCTGGCATCAGTCATGGGAGCCTGCTTGTGTTTTTGTTTTTTTTTTTTTTGGAGACAGGATTTCTCTGTGTAGTTTTTGGTACCTGTCCTGGATCTCACTCTATAGACCAGGCTGGCCTCAAACTCACAGAGATCCGTCTGGCTCTGCCTCCCAAGTGCTGGGATTAAAGGCATGTATGTGCCACCACCGCCCAGTACCTGCCTGTGTTTTAAAATTCCACGCTGATGGCACCATCCTCAATCCCAAGTTGCACCAGTGAGGGAAGGGATAGGGCTAATTGACTTTAGTACTTGCTCCAGCCTCGAGGGAGGGGGCAACTTTCTTTGGGGGGTGGGGAAATGATAACCATATTTCCATTTCTGTTCCAAGGCTGCCTGGTCCTTAAGCTTCATGTCAAGCCTTCTTTGGTTACTGTGACAGCTACCATTTATGGAGCACACACCATGCCCGGGATCTTGCTAAACACTCTGGAGATGTTGCCCCATGAAATGCTTAGAAGGGCTCTTCTGCACTATAGAACCCAAGATCTCAATGCTCATTTTTTGGGTGCATGGGGTGTAGAGGTTTTCTTTTCTTTTCTTTTTCCCTAGACAGGATTGGTTTCTCTGTATAGCCTTGGCTGTCCTGGAACTCACTCTGTAGATCAGGCTGGCCTTGAACTCACAGAGATCCACCTGCCTCTGCCTCCTGAGTGCTGGGATGAAAGGTATGCACCACTACTACCTAGCTCCTAAGGCCCATTTTATAGATGGAGATACCGAGGTCCCGGGAGAGCAGGGCATTTGCCCAAGTTTATATGACTGAATTCACAGCTAGGCATGCTGACTCCAGGGGTTAAGCTCTGAAGAAACAATCTAGAGTTGGCCTGTCATCCCAGCCACTCAGGAGACTGAGTCAGGAGGATTACAAGTTTGAGGCTTACCTGGGCTACCGCCAAGTGAGTTCAAAGCCAGGCTGGGCAACTTAGTGAGACTTTGTCTCAAAATAAGAAAATGTGAGCCTGGTGTGGTGGGACATCAATGTAACGTGCCACTAATAGCCATTCAAGTGCATTAGACTCAGGAATGTGTCCACTGAAACGACGGTTCAAATGCGCGTTCCAGAGCCAGCACTCCGAGTCGCTACAAGCAAGACATAAACGTATTACATGCAATAAAATGGAGGCAGGGAGCCTCAGGAGTTCAAGGTCATCCTCACAGCCAGGGCTGGGTGAGACCTTGCCTCAAACGAACAAAAAGATAAGATGTGGTGATGGAGTGAGTGTGAGAGTGTGTGTGTGTGTGTGAGTATGTGTGTGAGTGTGAGAGTGTGTGTGTGTGTGTGTGTGTGTGTGTGTGTGTGTGTGTGTGTGTGCCTGACCGCATGTCCACAAGTATGTATTCACATCTGCGTAGTGTTGAGGACAATGTCTATTCCTGGAGTCAGCCAGGAACTACATTGGTATTAAAAAACAACACAGGCCTCAGCCAGGAGAAGAGGGATCTTTCCAGAAGAGAAGCCGCTTCCTCTGACTGCAAAGGGGGCCTGGGCCAAGCCCACCAGCTCAATATGCTTTGCTTTCCCGCTGTAGCAGGCTCCTGGCCCAGCCTGCCTGCCATGTAACCGGATAGTTTATCTTACCCCGCCAAGCAGAAATAAAACTACCGAGTCAAACATTGCAAACAGATGCCACTGTGGCCAGAGCCCAGGGTGCAGGGGCCAGATGCTCTTGTGAGCACCCAGGGAGGGTAGAAGCCGTGAGCCTGGGTCCCTCCAGACCCTGTCGATTTGGAGAGTCAGCTGTTCCCGAGATTGGAACTTTGGGGTCACTAAGGGACTTCCAGAACCAGAAGAGGGAGGAAATAACAGAATGGTAGGCCCCCCCCTTCTCCCCCACACACATTTGAGGCTTGCCAATTCTCAATGGTAACAGCCCTGCCTTCCACAAAGAGGGGGAAATTTAGGAAGGGTTGAGTTTAGCCTACTTGAACTCCTCAGGAGTTCGCTTAAAGGGCCTCGCGAATAACAGGCTAAATCCCCTAAGCTTCCTTTTCATGAGTGTCTGCATCTAAGCTCACGGGGGAGATTTGGAGCCTCACATGGCTCTTAACTAGTCTCTCTTTACCCCTTCTCCATAAATCCTCTCGATGGCTGCCGGCTCTGCCTTCGTCTTCTGTTTTCAGAGTCATGCTATGGTAAATTGTGTGTGTGTGTGTGTGTGTGTGTGTGTGTGTGCGCGCGCGCACGTGAGTGCAGGTGCCCTAGGAGGAAAAAGGCACCTTCTGCTCTGGACCTGGAGTTGCAGGCGGTTGTTAGCCACCTGACCTGGGTGCTGGGAACCAAACTCTGGGCCTCTGCAAAAGAGCCAGGTAAGTGCGCTTGGAACCTCCTAGCTGGTTCTTCTTCAAACACAAATGGGGAAAATCATGTTTTCCCCTTCAGTTCCCTATAGCCATGCCAGGCAGCTCACAACTGCCTGTAATTCCAGCTCCGGGGGATCCTACGCTTTTGGTCTCTGTGGATACCCGTACTTATGCACACATACCTACACACACAATAAAAATTATAAAATTATAAATTTATCATTGCACTTATTGATTTTGTGGTGTGTGTGTGTGTGCGCGTATGCACATGTGGGCATGCCCTAGCATGCTTCTGGAAGTCAGAGGACAACTTATGGGAGTTGGCTCTCTCCTTGGGTCCTTGGGCTCCCACTCAGGGCATCAGGCTTGGCAGCAAGAGGCTTTATATGCTGAGCCCTCTCTTATTTGCCTGATCTCCAACTCCCCGTGCTACTGGAAAGGAAATGTTTTCAATCCTGTTTTGTGATTTCCCACCTCAGAGCAGAGTCACCCCTGCGTGGAGCGAGGATCCTTCACCCTATGGCTCACCTGCTTCCTATCTGGCCCATCTCCAGACGCCTTCTCAGGATGGTAAACACCACTGTCCACAGAGGGCCAGGGTCTGCTTCTTCCGGGTCCTTGGAAGTTTATAAACGGAATTCCGAAAAACCAGATGGAGGCTGCTGTAGTCACTTTGGGTTCCATGTCTTCAGGATGGTCTCCCAGTCTGCTCACTAAAGACAAAGCAATAAGACAAGCAAGTGTATGGGGCACAGGCTTCTAACCACGGCCCTCAGGAAGTAGGGGCAGGAGGATCAGAAATTTGAGTTCAGTCTTGGCTGCAGGTTTGAAGCCAGCTTGGGCTACATGAGACCAAGGTGGGGGTGGAGGAGAAGCTGGGATAGCAAGATGGCTCAGCAGGTAAAGACACTTGCAGCCAAGCTCGACATCCTAAATTCAGCCCTCAGGACTCCAGGAGTCAGCTCACATGGGAACTGTGCACACACAAATAAATGCTATTATTATTAGTTAAGAAAGGAAAAGGAGCCAGGTGGTGGTGGCGCATGCCTTTAATCCCAGTACTAGGGAGGCAGAGGCAGGTGGATCTCTGTGAGTTCGAGGCCAGCCTGGTCTACAGAGCGAGATCCAGGACAGGCACTAACACTACATAGAGAAACCCTGTGTCAAAAAAACCAAAAAAAAAAAAAAAAAAAAAAAAAAAAAAAAGGAAAGAAAACTAGAAAATGCAGAACCTTGATGGACCTGCTGCTTGGCATTCTTAATCTGGAACCTAGAGCTGTGATCGACTTCCTCAAAGCCCCCGGGTGTTTCTCTGGCACTCTGGAAATAGTGGCTGAATGAGGAGTGAAAAAGGACAATGGCTAATGAAAGGGGAGAGAAAGTTTACAAAGGAAAATCAGAACGTAGAAGGCTTGACTATAAAATAAAGTCCTGGGTTTGATCCTCAGTACTGGGCAGAAAAGAGAAAAAGAATAAGGAGGAGGAAATGGACCATTGTTTTCCTAAACGTCAGAGGCGATTGGAATGGGGTAGAAAGAATGCACACCTGTGTGTGCACATGCACTTGCACACTTGTGCAGAGCCAAAACAACTTTGGTTAATGTTCATTTATTCTTTTTCCAAACCCATTTCTTCCTCTGTATACAAACAGGCAATGCAAACACACACACACACACACATGCACTATATTAAATGTAAAAAGGTAAGAGGAACCAGGAGAGATAAGCATGTCTGCAATGCTAAGACAGATGTATACACACACACACACACACACACACACACACACACACACACACACACACACACAGGATCCTTTCTCCAAAATGCCTGTGTGCTCAGGCTCAGGGCCCCAGCCAAGCATTTGCTCTGAGACTTGGCGGCACCAGCGCCCATCTCCGGATATTCCTTCTTTCCCAGCCTCTTATGGTCTGGTCTCTATCTTAGGCCTGCTTGTGACAGACAGGCCAGGCCAGGCACCCTAGAGGCCACTCCTCCTCCTCAGCCTTGGTGTGTGTGTGTGAGTGTGTATGGGGGTGCTGTCCCCTCTGAAACTGATCCCTGATCTCCTGTCTTTGGATCTAATTTGTTTCTCTGTCTGTTGGGGATGGGGTGGGGGTGGGGGGGTTGAGGGGTGGGGTAAGGGTCTTGCCAGGAGACTCAGTGGTCACAGGTGACATTAATCATGTCTGCATCCTGAGAGAGGGACAGGGATAGGGATAGGATATCAGAGAGGTGACCAAGCTTTGCCACATGATTCGAATCACCTTCAGCAATGATTGAGTTCACCCTGAGTTTCAGAATCTCCACAACTGTTTTTCTCCTTCATATAATGTCAACGGGCCCTTAAAGGGGCAGGATCCATTTACACCAGGCATGGGGTGCATTAGCTGGGTCCTCTCCCATTAAATGTTAACTGCTAGATGTGGCTTAGACAAATTCGATTTACTGAAGATCCTTTTCAAAGGTACTGAGTTGATTAGCTGTCCCGTCTCTTCCTCTGGGCAGGGGTGGGAGAAGGGGGGTACTTTCCTGGTTTGGTCCCAGTCTCTAACCTGTAGAATGAGAGAATGTGTGGGCTGACAGAAACGGCCTTGGATGGGGTTTGATGGGAAAATCCCCACGGTTGTTTCAAGGAGACATAGTTTCTGAAAGTGTAACAAGGCAGACAACGGATCTTCCTCTGCAGTCAGAATGACCACCGTGCTTCCTGCCCGCCCCGCAATGAGAGAGAAAACAGTATCCTAAGCCCAGAATACAACTTTCTAGAGAGAAAGTTTGTTTGTTCGCTGGGGTGGTTTCAGAAGCTTCAGGACAGCACACACCCAGTCTGTTGCAAAGAACACTCAGGTCCTGTCCCCAAGACAGGATTTTGATTTGTATCGACAGTTGGGGGTTACAGGTGTGCCCCACCACATTCAGTTTCCAAACCCAGCTGGGGTGCAAACCAGAGAGAGAGAGAGAGAGAGAGAGGCGGGCCAAGGGCAGAAATAACTGAGCTCAAGATGGTTCTCTCAGTGGTTTCCCTAATATGTGGAAGGTGGTGAGTAGCCAGCCCCCACCCTGTGGCCACAAGGTTTGGAAAAGCTGCATTACTTAATGCAGAGCACAGGCTTCCCGTTCCTCATGGTGGGACTCAGCATTCACTTGTCTCCTGGGACGGTAAAGCTGAATAAAGACATCTTAGTGCGTGCTGGGGTCCCAATAACACTTGATAAGTGTATGTGGGCTGGATTGGCAGCTCTGCTCTGGCAGATCTCCAGTGTGTGAGCCTGCTTGCTCCGAGAGCTCTTTAGAACGTCCATGAACCCCAAGCTCTATGCACGAGGGGTGATAACTGGGACACAGGACAATTGAGAGTCAATTTGCAGCATGAACGTGAGGATGAGGGGTGGACAGTTGTAAACCCAGTACCACCCAGGAAGCCAAGCAGGAGGATCACAAGTTCGAGGCAGGTGTGTTTCAGAGGTGTGTGGCTCCAAGGTAGATGCTTGCCCAATATGCAAGAGGCCCTGGGTTCTATGCTGGGAGCGCAAGACTAGACTCAGCTACCCACAAAACAAAACATCTCAAACATCAGTGTCTCTTCTGATGGGCATTATGGACATACTTGTAATCCCAGACTTGGGAAGTAGAGGCAGGATTACACATCTACACAGTGAGACCCCCCCCCCTCAATAAAATAACATGATGTAAAATGAAAATTTAAAAGGCTGGAGCTATAGTTCAGGGGGATAAAGTGCTCACTTGCCTGGCATGCGTGGAAACTTCTGTTTGCTCCCCTGCTCTGCCTAGCCAGGTGTATAAGGTGCCTACCATACCAGCACCGAAGAGGAGGACTCCAGGAAGATCAGGAATTCAAAGTCAACTTCCACTGTAGTTAGTTCAAGACCAACCTGGGCTACATGAGATCCTGTCTCGAAAAATACAAAGTAATAGCGACTCTGGGCTGGAATGAACAAGAAGACAGGAGAAAATGAGAGGAAAAGAGAAGAGAGGAAAAGGAGGAGGGGGGGTGATCCGGAGCATTGGCAGCAGAGACAGAGACAGAGAGCCGAGAGCCCGGAAGAGCACAGACACAGGCAGAAGGAGGTGACAAGGAGAACCCAAGCCACCATGAAAGGTGAAATGTGAAGTCCCTGGCCGGTGCGTCATCTCTCCCACCACCACCACACCACACCACCCTGCCCCCAGAACATGGAATCCCTATCAGCTGCAGCAGGCCCCAAGTCCCTCTGCTGGTCTGGCGCCCTTGGGGACACTGTGGTGGGGATATCACAAATTAGACATCAGGCCTGCAAGGCGGATTACATCAGGGAGGGCTGGACTGCGGAGAAGATCAAAGACTCGCCTGGCAGGGCTCCCAGTGGGGCCCCCAGGCCTGAATTCCTGGCTGAACCCCTAGGAAACATTCTGATGTGCAGATAGAAGCCTGGAGTCCTTGCAGGCTGCCTTTTCCTCCCTCCCTCTCTCCCTCCCTCCCTCCCTTCCTCCCTCCCTCTGAGGCTGGTCCTCTTCCCCTGTGGTCTTCCCCGGCCATCTCACATGGGTGAAGGGATCCTCAGAGCCAAGGGATGGCAGGGCAGAGCCAGGCATGGTGGCACGTGCCTGTGACCCCCCCAGCGCTTGAGACTGAGGCAGAAGGATCTTGAACTTGAGGCTAGCCTGGGCTATATATTGAGATCCTGTTTCAAAGAAAGCAACACAACACAAAAACAAATACAATGAAATGAAAAAAAAAAAAAAGAACCAAACTAGGCCTGGCATAGTGACACACACTTGTAAACCCAGCACTTGGGAGATAGAGGAAGGAAGAGTAGGAGTTCGAGGCCAGCCTCAGCCACATAGCAATTTTCCAAGCCAACCAAGCTGGGCCACCTGAAACCCTGTCTCAAAACCTTAAAAAAAAATAAATAAAATAAAAAAAATCCCATACAAATAAAAACTGTAGAAACAGCAGGCCATGTCCTCTTAGGCCTCAGCTTCCTATGTGCCAAAAGAACATTCTAGCAACAGCAGGGAGTTCCTGCTTGCAGAGTTGGGAATATTCCCTGGGATAAATAAATAGATTTATTTGTTTCTCCAGCCCCTAGTCTCCTGGGTGTAAAACAGAGAGCATGTAAACACCTCTCTCCCGCCTCCGCCGCCGCTGCTGCCACCACATTGCTCCTGGCTTTCAATGTGATGATCACAGATGCACAAACCCCCACCAAGCCCAGATCCTGGCACCCAGGAGAGCCCTCGGCACACGGCACACCGCCGTGTTTGCGAGACACAAGCCAGATCGCCATCGCAGACAGGGGCTAATATATGGCATCTTGCTCTGGCTGGGAATTGGAACATTGTGATTAGAAGCAAGAAGAGAAGGGACAAAAAGAACCTGTCCTCAAGTGCACAGTGACAGACCACAGACGCTCCTGGCAGCCCGAGGGGCTGAGGAAGGACAGAGCAGATCATATTAATAACAATAAATTATATCTACGCCGTGATTCATGCTTCTCATTACGCTATCTTACAGTGCCGCAGGAAGGGTGTAGCAGGCTTCTTGTTTGTCTCGGGCATGTTAACGTCCTGTGGTTATTTGAGAGGATACCATTTTTTCATGCTATTGGATATAATTTCCTTTACTGTCCAAACTGGGGAAAACGGAGTCTTGGAGGAAGCTAGAGGTTTACCCAAGGAAAAAGTTGGAGCCAAGATTCACATCTGGGAGTTGGTGGGATGGCTCAGTGGGTGAAGGCATTTGTGGCCCAGCCTGATGACCTGAGTTCGATTCCCCAGGACCCATAAGGTGGAAGGAGAGGATGGACTCCTGAAAGTTGTCCTATGACCTCCCCACATGCCTTGAGAAACACACACACACACACACACACATACACACACACACACACTAAATGTTTAAAGCAACAACAACAAAAAATTGCTGTGTTTTCTAGTTCAGCATTTCCATCACCACCCACCTCA